TTTTTTTTATTAAAGACTTGCAACAGGACGCGTCCTCGACGAGCCTTCTCCTCCGCGAAACGACGAAGAGGACGATGAAGTACAAGGACGCGAGTCGAAAGGGGTAAAGCAAGAGAAAGGCAAGAAAAATGGTCATTCGGTTTAGTCGAATCTTTCGCGATTACGCTCTGTGCCGTTTTCTCGAGCGTTTCGACTCTTCTTCTACTGTAAGCGACAATGTAATTTATTTAGTTTCTACCAAAGATGAAGAGGTTTTCATTGTAAAAAAAGAGAGTTTTGTCGAGAGTTTTGCGTGTAAGATATTTCTCTTTTTCTTTTTTTTTTTTTCTTTCGTTAAAATTTTCGTCGCTGATCGAATCGACGATCAAGCGAGAAAGAATCGCCGGCTGCGCGATCTAACGAGGGTCCTCTTCCTCGATAGGATCGAGACTCGACAGCAAAGGGAGCAGTCGTGCTCCCGATGCACGTGTATATTCTTAGCCGCGCGGACGTATTATTATTATACTCTTCTCGTCTGTGTTTATTTCCTTTTTTAAGATTAGTTCTGCACAGCAACGCGTTATGCATGAGAAGTCACACTTCGTTCGATGACCGTCTCGTTTGCTCGCAATCGTTAGCGTGTATTATTGTTTTTACATCACTCACAGCAAATAAATATATATATATATATATCATCGTAGCCATTGTGTAGCGAGATGCACGCGTGTTAGATTGACAGAGTAAGAGTGAGAGAGAGAGAAAGAGAGAGAGCGAAGAAAGTAAAAAAAAAAAGAATGAATTTTGGAAATGCCTGTACGCATGGAGTATATATGTGGGAGAGATTGCGATTCAGTCTAATCTCATTTAAAAAAAAAAAAAAAGTATTATCTCGCCGACTTGTATCATAGCTCATTTATCGAACGTTCGTGAGAGCGTTTTATTTTCTCGCCTTTTGTCGATTATTTTTGTATAGAGATATATATATCTATCTTCCCCTTGTTTCTTTTGTTTCATCATTCACTTGTAGGTACCTGTCTGCTCTACATTTTCTTTTCCTTTTTTTTTTTTCCTTTTTTTCTTTGTTTTGTACTTTCCTCAAGGCCCCGCGACCCTCTCTTACGAAGAAAGTAGCTTCACCGACGGTATTTTCGATCATCGAGCGTCGACACACCATGAAATTTAATATATTTAACGGTACCACCCTTCCCCAATCGTTGGAAGATGTAATCGATAAACGATAAAGTAATCTATTTAAAAGTGACTTGAATAGCCTGTACATTGCTAAGTTTTTTGGTATATTCGTTTCTGCAATACATCATCTGTATTTAAGCGTATAGCATCTATTAGTGACAGTACATGAGCAAATAAATATGATTAGACATATCACGGCTGTTAAATGAATGCGTCACCCCCGTCATTTCCCTTTTTTTTTTTAAACCAAACGTCGATGATAGCATCTAGATTTCTCCTGTGGGACAAATTTATCAAGTAAATATTATATATATAAGTGAAATTAATTAGTATATCTTTTATTACAATAAAGGAACAATAACGAAGAAATTACGGAACGTAAAATAATTGCTAATAAATGGATGAAATGGAGATTCACATCCAAATTTGTGCGCAAAACTTGTCGCGCATGAACTATATTAATTCAAATTTCAAATTCAATTTCGAGTTCGCGCGAAAATTTGTTATTATTGACGCGAGTTCGTTCATCTATTGACAAAAACTTTTAAATCATTTTGTATACGCGTTTTAAAAGTTGAACGGAGTATAGGAAGAGAGCTAAGGATCCAATTAAGACAACGCTGTCTCAAAAATGTACAAATTAATCCTCCAAATTAATTTATTTTGCAAATAAAAGTTAAATCGGTTTATGGACATTGAAGTGCTAGCGGCGCGTAGCGGTGAAACAATTGAACTAAAATCTATTGCCTTCTTTGTCGCACGCTAGTGACTTCCTTGTCTTTCACGATGCATATATCTATCCTCGTTCAACATTATTGCGTTCTTTATCTACGGTGGTGCTGCCATCTGAGCCACCTCTTGATTTCAATTGAAACTAAAAGAATAAACAGGAAATCTCCGACAGATGGCAGAATCTGATCGATATAGTGATTATAATAATTTATATTTATATCACAATACTATAAATAAATAATAACTCCGTAATTAATTTTAGTTGTTTATATAAAAATATTATCNTAAAAATATTATCAATATCACAAAATATACAATTACTAATAATTTAATGAAGATTACATAATGAAAGTTAAATGACGAAATAACGAATGAAGAATTTCTACTATGGCTACAATATATATAAGTGTCAGTAAACATTTCTATGGTGATAATAAAATTAATAGCTATTTTTAAATATTCTATTGTTTATATTAAATACACATCTCGACAGAACATAGATGTCGATCTAAATTCTTCGAAGTAGAGGTCACTACAATCATGTAGTGATTGTAATGATAATATTATAATACTACAAATAAATAAGAACTTCGTAACATTAGTAACTTTTAATAAATTATAATAAATGATATTTAAATAACAATAATATATTAGATAAAGTTTATAGCACAAATAGATAACTGTTTTCTGTGAATGTTAATTATGGAATGAATAACAAATTATAAAATGAGGTCTATATGTACATCTCTATAAATAAGCCAACATGCTAATAACATCTCCGTAGTAATGATAAAAATGAAATAACAATTTACAAATGTTCTTATGTTAGGAGTTTATATACAGTTGGCGATGTCGGTTTACAGGAAACGTACTTTTCGACAGAACGATTGCATTAATGTAGATGACGGTGATTTCAATTTTGTAGAGGTAACAGTCGATACAATCACTGTCGGTGATATATTGTAGTTCTAGCAATCTGCGATAGATGGCGAAACATATCTTTTTTTGTGGACAAGGAGCGCAATAATGTACGACAAGGATAGAATTATGCAGCGTGGCAGACAAAGAGAGCATTAGTGTGCGACAAGGACAGCAATAGATTTTAGTTCCACCTTTTCACCGCTACGCGCCGCTAGCATTTCAGTGTCCATAAATCGACTTAACTTTCATTTGCAAAATAAATTAATTTAGAAGATCGATTTGTAAATTTTTGAGTTTGCGTCGTTTCAATTAGATCATTAGTTTTCTCTCTATGCAACATTTATCCTTGAAAATGCACGAATAAAGATTTAAAAATCTTATTCGATAGAACGAAACTTTCGTTGGAATAATGTTTGACTTTGGGTAAAACACGATTCAAGATTTGGATCAAAATTTACTGGTAAACATGATCAAAGGTATGTGCAACAAATTTCATACAATTTTCTATATGAATTTTTGTTTAATCGATCAGTTGCTTTATATGTATCAATTATTATATGTTCCATTAATTGCATGGATCCAATGTGACTATTTTACACTTGATTTACATTGTATCGAATGAATTTGTGAATTTCCTTACATATAGTACAAAGTATGGAATCCAAAGAAGATTTTCAAAAGTTTTTTTGAATTCGATGCATCGGTTTTGTAGGTCCGTTTGTTTATAATTTATGTACAATGATCCAAGAAAGTGTCCGCACTCGATGAAAATTTGTCGATATTTTAAACTCTTATAACTTCGTGAAAAATCGCACAAGTTCCAAGAAGTTGTTATAAAGAGGAGATATCGATCTTTAAGAACATTGTGAATATAATTTTGAAAAAAAATTTTCAACGTTTTTAGAGACGTTCGAATTTTCACAAAAGTCACTTTATACGATGTAATATTTTTGGTGAAAAAATTCAGCACCATGAAAGTAGTGTGTTTACGCTTTAAAACGAGCCTAAATGAATCGTTCTGCGATTTTTTTTTTTGGTACAAAGTTATAGCAGTTTAAAGTTTCGATGATTTTTCTATTTGGCACAATATTTTGATGAGAAATTAACCCTAATGTTCGAAGTTCAATAAAATGACGAAGAAAAAAAATCGTGCAGCAAGTTTTAAGGGGAGACTCTAGTCTTTAAGATCGTTGTAAATTCGGTTTCCGAAAAAATTTGCCAATATTTTCACAGACGTCCGAATTCGCACAATTTTTGACGCTTTTTCCACCTGACGTAGAATATAAAATTATCTCTGACTTTGGACATTAGGGTTAATTTCTCATCAGAATATTGTGTCAAATGGAAAAATCGTCGAAACTTTAAACTGCTATAATTTTCTACCAAAAAAAAAAAAAAGAAAAAAGAAAAATCAAGAGTATAGCACTGACATAGTGTGACGTCAACTAAATTTTTTTAAAACAAAATTGCATCA